CGCTTAGAGAGGGCTGAAAGCCCTATGAAGCGGTATATAAGTCTAACTGCTATTGCTATTGCTATTCTCTGAACTCCTTCACATGAAGGTACTAACTTCATTGTTGATTTCACTGGAATCCTATGGCTCTTCTGTTTCTTTAGTTATCTGCCTCAAGTGTCTCTGGATTTGACATCTCAGAGCTTCAGTGATAAAGTTCTGAATGGAAAGGACCATTGGGTCATTGACTTCTATGCACCTTGGTGTGGCCCTTGCCAAAATTTTGCTCCAGAGTTTGAGATACTCGCAAAGGTAAATTCTTACGGTTTTTCAGCATCAGAAAATACTTGTTCAACTGAATTTACTTGATGTAGACCCCCAAATTAGCTCCCAACCAGGATATTTAGCATTTTAACCTCTATAGATTATTTTTCTCATTCAAATACAGTCTCCAGCAGAAGAAAATATATGTAGCTCAAGGCTGAAATGTGGAGTCCTTAGTGTTCTCTATGCTTGGTTATTTGTGTGTGGATGTTTCGTTACTTAACTAGGTGACATCAACAGTGAGCAACATCACTCATGAGCACCATCATGATGCTCCTAACATCACAGTGGGTGCTCCTAATATTACAATGAACACTTAGGTAGTGTCAATCTAGCTAAGGTCATTAGTGAGCATCAATGACTTCAAATATAGTCTCTCAAAACTCAAAACCTGGCAATGATAGTTGAAGCAAAACAATAAAAGGAGTCTATGTCAGAAATAGAAATGTTGACAATATAATATATTTTTCAGAGTATAAGATGCACCGGGGAGTATAAGATGGACCGAGATTTTGAAGAGGCAAATTTTTTTTAAAAGTTTGCACTCTGCAGACCTCCCCAAAATGACCCGTTTTTCATGAAAAGGGGCCCATTTTTTGTCAAAAAAGGGTATGCATAGCCTTTAGAAGGCTTATAGAGTGCTTGGGGGGGGGGCAAAAATGATCAAAACCCGGGCCATTTTTAGCTCATTTTTGCCCTCCCCAGCCCCTAGGAGCACTCGTGAAGGTTATGCACAGCCATTTTTGAAAAGGGAGCGGGGTTTCGGGAAGTCAAAAATACTGTATTCAGTGTATAAGACGCACCCAGATTTTCACCCTCTTTTTTGAGGGGAAAAGGTGCGTCTTACACTCCAAAAAAACACGGTACTTATCTAAGCACAGTTCTTTTATGGCAACTAAATTCTCCATTAGCATCTGGAAAAAAATAATGGGAACTTCATTGGCTTAATTCGGTTTGATGGTTAAAGTGCTGGCCTAGAAACCAGAAGATTGTCACTTCTAGGCCTTCCTTGAAAGCTAGTTTTGTGGTTTTGGACCAGTCACTCAGCCCCACTAACCTTACGGGATTGTTGGGGAGGAGTATAGGAGTCAGGAGTATGAGGTATTTTTGCCACCTTGAATTACTGTATTTATGTGCAGATAAGCCAAGATCACCTAATCTGTGAATAAGTATAGCCAGAAATCTATATGGTATATAAAAAAGGTGGGATAAAAAAAAATGAGATGACGACCATGAGCAGGGAGAGTTCGTGGTGCAGAAAGTGTCTGAACCTGAACTTTGAAAATCAGTTTCAGTTGCTCAAGCACAAGGGTGTGACTTTCTCACAGGAATTCACTGTATAATAGATAGTTCAAAGGCCGCTTTCCCAGGATCTGCTTGGTTGATTTATGTCCGCATTAGTAATGCTAGAACTACTTTATCATTCCAAACAAACAAATCCTCTTATGGCAAATCCTCAAGCGAGGAATGCGCTACATTTTGGGGTGGGATGGGAGTTCTCTCCTTTCCTTGAAACAGCCTAAAACGTTGAGAATGGCTGAACCAAGATCCATTGATTTGGAAGCTCTTGAGAACCGATTAGTTAGGAAATCAGTTATTTGGGATGACAGAAGCATTTACTGCATAAAGTTATGAGACTGGAGTGTTATAAAAGCATGAATGAATGAATGAATGAATGAATGAATGAATGAATGAATGAATGAATGAATGAATGAATGAATGACAAGGTATCTGCTATCACCTAATTGTTTAGTAGTAAAACTAATTGTTAACCTAATGGACTTTAACATGCAGCTCCTTTTTTCCCCCCATTTTAAAAGACTGTTAAAGGAAAAGTGAAAGCTGGCAAAGTTGACTGCCAAGCCTATGCTCATACGTGTCAATCTGCTGGCATCAGAGCCTATCCAACAGTTAAATTTTATCCTTATCAAGGAACAAAGGTAAGCGATCGATATCAGCAGTTGCAAGGAACAGATTAGAATATTTGAGGGCTAACACCTGTGCCGTCTTGCCATAGTCACTCTTTTATGAAAACCTGCAGGAAAGCCACTTTCCAGTGTAGACATGTGGTACTAGATGCCTGGTTCTTTATCTTAATAAGCCATGGTTTGCTAAGTTATAGATATAGGATGGGCATTTACAAGTGTTTTCAGAAAATGCATATGTCTAGATTAATATCTGTTCCAAAAAGTCTTGTGCTATTTTAGAAATGCATCCAATAAAATGTACCTGGTCATGTAGAGCCCCACTCACTGATTATAAACTCACCTTTTAAGTATTATAAGCCAAAAAGAGGTTGGGGGGGGGGATTTTTACTCCTGATCTCTCAATACCGTGTTTCCCCAAAAATACGACAGGGTCTTATTTTCTTTTTACCTACAAAATATGGCTTGGGCTTTATTATGGGGAGTTTATTGTTTTGGGGTTGCCGGCTGGCTGCTCTCTTGCAACTGGGCTCCCAAAGAGCTGGGCACAGCCTCATGGGCGAATGGCTGAGTTGCGCCTGTTCGCCACCGTCCGGCTCCCATGGCTTGGCGCCTTCCAAATGCCAGTGAATGGTGCTCTGCACAGCTGGAGAGGGGGGTTATGCGAGCTGCTGTTCCGCTCTCGCTCACCCGCCTCCCAGCCTCAGGATGCACGGCCCAGCTCTCATTATGGAGTCAGGGCACCTCCACCGCCGCTGCCATCCCAGCCTGGCTTTTTCTGTGGCTTCCAACCGGAGTCTTTCGGCAGTGGCTGCTCTGGGCGCATGCTCTATGGTTGTGGGCCAGCTGCCTGCAGAGTGTACAACCATAGAGCGTGAGCCCAGAGCGCCCACTGCTGAAAGACTCAAGTTGGAAGTAGCGGAAAAAGCCACGCTGGGATGGCCGTGGCGGCGGAGGTGCCCTGGCTCCGTAATGAGAGCTGGGCCATGCATCCTGAGGCTGGCAGGCGCATGAGTGAGAGCGGAACAGCCGCTTACGCACCACCACCCCCTTTCCAGGCATGCAGAACGCCATTTACTGCCATTTCGAAGGCGCCACCTGCAGGAGCCGGACGGCGGCAAACAGGTGCTCACGCGGCTTGGCGATACCCCTAGGTCAGTGAATGGCGCTGTGCCCGGCTGCAAAGGGGGTTTGCCAGGTGACTACTCGTGAACATGGTCGCTTCATGGCTGTTGTGTTGCACTGCTGCGACAGCGCAACACAGCCATTTGCCCATGAGGCTGTGCCTGGCTCTTTGGGAGCCCACTCACAAGAGAGCAGCCGCCCAGCAACCCCCCTCTTCAGCTGGGCACTGCGTTGCTCATCAACCTAGCGGTATCCCAAAGGCACCAAGCAATGCAATCACCTTTGCCCGCCACCCAGGTCCCCACGGCTTGGCACCTTCAGGATACTGCTAGGTTGATGAGCGGCGCTCTGCCTGGCCGGAGGTGGGGGGTTGTCCAGGGGGTTTATATGCGGGGGAGCTTAGATTTTTGCCCACCAGAAAAATGTGGCATGGCTGTATTATAAGGACATGTTGTATTTTCAGGGAAACATGATATTAAGCTATGAAATGTATTTGAATATAAGTAGCTCGGATTGGTAGTTGGGCTGAGCTTCGAGCTTGGAAATTTGGTTGCAAACGTTTTGTCACCATTCAAGGAGATCGTCAGTGCTCTTTGAATTGTGCTCATCTGTCAGAGTGATGCAAATTAGTGTGGATGTTATTTGTTCCACTACCATGGCTCAGAAGTAGCCAAACAAACAACATCCACACTAATTTGCATCACATAAAAAAGCCAGTGCTCTGACAGATGAGCACAAAGCGCACTGACGATGTCTCCTCGAATGGTGACAAAACGTTTGCAACCAAATTGCCAAGCTTGGAGCTCAGACCAACAGCCCAAATATTAAGCTATTCTTTATTTATACGTATCACTTTGTCCTTCCAAAGACAACAGTATCAAGGTTACATAGACATTTCCTTCATAAGCAACACTAAACATTACTATTAAACCACCTGTAAATACGTTTGGTTCTGTATTTGCATGTGTCTTGAGCAGAACTGACCATTCTTTTTTTTTTTACTCTGTTTTTAAAGAAAAATATTTTGGGGGAGCAGATCGAAAGTCACGAAGCAAAAGTCATAGCCCAACTACTGATGGAGAAAGTGGAAACCCTTAAAAAGAAGAAAAAACAGTCTTCCAGAAAAAAGGCAATACTTTATAAGATACTTTGCCAGAAACATACCTTAATGTTATTATCTTATACCATCAGTATCTTCAGTATCAGAAATTGATAGAGCTGCCACATTTGGCCTGCAAAAAATCAGTGTGATGATTACATGTTAACAAAAGAGATTTTCCTGGATATTTATAGCCCAGATATGGTAGTAGTTGCTCCTGAAGGTCGAATAGCTTTCCTGAATATTTGATCAGATCACCGAAATTTGGGTGTCCTTACTGGATGATCAATTACTAATACGAACCCCTTCTTCATGCTCTTCAGATATGTTGGCCTTGGTGACTGGAATTTGGGTTGCTGTATGCGTGCCAGGTTTGATTAATTGCCAAAAAACAAAAATGCCATTTAATACAAGCCTGGAAAAATGCATCCTGTGAACAAAAAACCACTTTGTTTCTAAAGGATGGCATTCTTATGTTTCCTTTCCTTTTTCCAATTTCAACATTTCATGGTTGAGGCTGAATCATTTCAAATATTTGTAGATTGGTGGAGTTAAGAAGGCTGACTTTGAATGGAACTGAAGCCCAACGGGTGGTAGTAGACAAAAATCTGATATGGGAGTCCTTTGCCAAACCTGGGAGATCATTGCAAAAAAAAACAACAACAGTATGTTCAGGAAAAAGAGTCGTAAGATTTAATCCAAAGAGGAAAGGGACCGATATTGAACAACTAGGAAATATATAATACATTGCAACGAAGTTAATAAAGAAAAGAGTTTTCCTCTCTTTAAGTTGTAGCATAATTGATATTCCTGTAGTGGGTAGGAGAGAAGAAAGCTGGGTTTCTGAGACTCCGAATGCAATAATTTTATTCAATCATCTTTTCTCTTCTTTTCCTCCCTTTTCTGAAAACCAGGATGAACTCTAACTTAAGAAGTGAATTCAAATCATAGTGAATCTGCAGCAGTGGCCTGATCAGATCATGTTCCTCAAGAAGAAAAGGAAATGCACTGAAATTCCTGGGCACGGGAATCTTCTACGACTATTAAGGAACATGTTCCGAATCATCCAAAGTGTACATTTAGTATCAGAGACGTCAACTCCGGCAATCAGTTTGGTACCCTAACTGCATCTCAGGAAGGCTGTTCTTCTTTGATTATGGACATGGGACATGATGGGTATTGGGTTGATTTCCCCCCCCCCCTTTTTTCTTTCCACCTTCCATTCGTACTCTAGAGAATCATCTTTTTCTGTGTTGAAAAAAGATCCTCAATAAGATGGCAGGTGAATAGTCTTTTCTTCAAGACAGAAAGACTTAGCAAATCTCTTCATCTCTGAGGGAAAAAGACTGAACTTTGGTTTTGTCTCTGAGGGGAAAAAGGTTTTACTGTTAGTGCGCTTTGTCAAGGATTCACTGAGTAAGCTAAAGATCTAGGAATGATCAATCCCCTTTAACATTCAACCCTCTTTGTGTAGAATATGAGTTACCCCAACCTCTAGACTATGTTGAAGAGCACTCAGATCATCACAAACAACTGCATGAAGATTCCAGTGCATGGCAGTTAAGAGAAAGCCATGCTTGGATTGGTGGAACATTTTGTGGAACTCCACTGTAAGTGCTCAAAGAGCCATGACGTCGTCTCTAGGGTCATACAGAGAACTCGATTCAGCAGCTGGCAGTAAATACACAAGGTTGCAGTGTTGCAAGCTAAAGCAGTTTGGTTTTTCATCCCAGGCTAAAGAGTTTCCTTCTGCAGATTGTAATGATATATCTAAGAACATTAATGAACAGAGGGGTTAACCATCGTGGCTTCTTGAAGCAACAGTGAGATAATATTGGCATGGAAATTTATTGATTTCAGCAAAATTTACTTCCAGGTAAGCAACTGTAGAAGAACTTAAGCTTAAAGCTTTTTTACATCAAATCAGATACACCTTTTAAAAAGCAAGCCTATAAAAAGATATATCTGGATGGAATTTTTCCAGTTCAGAGAACACCTTTTTCAGTTTGTGCCACAACAGAATTATTCTGGTGTTTTTTTTAGAGCAGGATAGTCAAACCTGCATCTGAGGCGTGCAGTGTGCTTTGTTGCCAGCCTATGTCTTAAGAAGCAGAATTATAAAACATAAATCTATATTTCAAGTGCCTTCTGAACATTTACTGATTGTGAAGCTTGTAATATTGGGAACCTAGTTGAGATATTCCCATTAGACTTGTTCAGGGATTGAGAGCAGTGTCCTTGATGCACACCCATACAGTATAATACTTGTCTGATGCCAACAAGACCTATAAAATTATGAACTCTATTTCAAGTTCTGAAAGTCTATATTTCACTTGTTCTCACACTTTTCCTTGCAACTCTCTTGCTAGTTACTTGAGAGAGAAAAACCTTTCTCTACTTAAAAATGAAGTGTGTTTAATATTGACACAAGATGACTGGCAGTATTGTTTTAAGATAAGGACACTACTTTTCACACTTATAGCCTTTTTGATTATCTGCCCTCAAGTTGAGGTCAATTATTGGTGACCACATCCTAATTGTTACCGACTTCTTGTATGTGTAATATTTGTCTGCATATGGAAGGGTCAGGAAGGATATATGTACTTCCATAATCTGAAATATCCATACCCAGATGTAATCAAGGATAGCAGAGCTAGGAACGCAAATCTTGTTATAAAATTTCCAGATATGCTTCTTCCAAGGCTAAGGTTACAGACATTGCTGGTGAATAGAAAGCAAAACAAGAATATGATTTGGTCTGTAATAGAAAATAATAGATAAAATGGCTACATCTATTGATAAATGTTTTTGTTCATCGGTTTCTCATATAGCCTATTTGGGGTTCAGGATTCAGTAATGTAAACAAATATTTTAAAATGCTGCCTTGCAGGAAGAGGGAGAAAAATCTGTCTGCCATTTACTTTTACTCTTAGAAATTGATTTGCAAATTATTTTCTGTATGTATACCTGAGAATGGGTTTTGCCAATAAGGAAGCTTGATTTATGACAGGGTTTGGAAGATCTCTTAGGCTTATCTACCTTTGAGCTCCTTGACGATACAATCTAGGCCAAAGATTCTACATTGTAGGAAAACACTCCTGTATTCTTGAATGTTTAAGTATGTAGTCATACTTTTGGATACTAGACTGGAAGAAAAATAAGCAATTGAAGAAACACAGAATTAACATTTGATTAATTGGGCTTGCATTTGAAGAAGTCTTCGTGTAAGTAGCCTGAACTCATTTGTGAGATGGGCCCATTATTGGCTACAGTAATGGGAGTCAAGTATATGTGAAGGCACAAAAGCTAAAACAATTTGTCTGGAGAAAAAACATAAACCATACCTGTTCCTGGGTGCCTGTACTTCTATGTATTACAAAGAGGACCTTTATAAATGTTTGGTGTGCGAATGGCAATTCTGTTTTAAAATCAGTTGTAAAATTTACAAATAAAGAACGCTATTCTTTTTATCCCTTTTAAACAGAACAGATACAGAGCTACACACTGTGACTGACAAAAGTTCATGTCTCACTCCATGATTGTATTGTAAACCACAGTTTATGATAAATTAAACTGTATTTCAGGATTGTGGTATTTAATGTTTGTCAAAAAAATTTTTCCTGAATACGTTCTTAACTGTGTTGCTTCTTTTCAAAATTCCAAGCATCCAGTGATGGAAAATGAGCTTTGTCTGAACTCCATCCATCCATCCACTGCCCTTAGTTTCTCAAAGACCTCGCCCCAAGTATTTGTGGAGCAGACATTGAAACTCTGATTCCATACTACTACCCTCTCCTAAAAAGGGAAAGTTGGAGCCTACAGGGAAGTTGCTCAACATGGCTGGATTTCAAGAGGGCACACCACCACCTTCAAGGGCAGTGGCATTTTACCCTCCCTAAAAGTGGCATTAATCACCAAACATGTCCTTTCAGCCACCTTAAGGAGCTAAAGGACCCTGTTCCCTTCCTCAGATTTCACCAGTCCAAAAATAAACAGACCTATTAGTTCCAGCAAAAAAGGTTTAAACCAGATCTGTACACAGTTCTTATATGAAACACTTTGAATACTCGTATTATAAATTCTGCACAGCATTTCAAATGTGGTTTCACCATAAATATCTCTTCTGACCCCCCTCATCCCACACCAACACACTCCGAGTCAAAGATACTTTACGGAATTTATTAACAGACAGGTCCTTGGCAGAAAAACAGCACAGATAAGCCTTGGCAGCAATCCAACACAGATAAACCGTGGCAGCAATCCAGCCTGCCAGGCTCACAATACTCTTCTCCAACATTCGTTAATGTGTTGACTTCTGCAAAAAGGGCGTGTTGAGTATTCATAAGTTCATTAATATGTATGAGCCATGCAAATGGCCTCACTGTTTCTTGTACTTCAGCACCTTTGTGCTGGCCAGCAACAGCCTCCTCCGTCTGGATTGGATAGGACGCGAGGGAGGCTGTTGCCAGCTGGAAGTCTGGTGCTGATTGGTTGAAGCCCGAGTATATAAGGTTTGGCGGGCTAGTTCACGAACTGAATCGCTGTCATACTTATCTGAGAATAAAGCCTGTTAGTTGTTCACCCTGTGGTCGCGTCCCTCATTCCGAACCTCTAAAAAAAGCACAACTGCAGCCAGCAACAGGGCACGAAGAAGCATCCACCTAGCAGAACTGGGAGCATCCCAGGTTAGTGGACTGGCAGGGAGGTTGCGCAAGCCTGGAGGCAGTGGGGAGGTGGTGGGGAGGCGGTGGGGAGACAATGGGGAGGCGGGTCGAGGCTGCCCTGGGCACCTGCAATGGGCAGTAACCTGCCACCTGCAGCTCTTGGAGGGAAGCGAGCCTCCTTCCTTCCTTAAAGAAGAGGAGGCAGAGGATGGTTTGCTCATACCAATTATCCACCACCACTTCTTCTTTAGGGGTCAGCAGAAGATCAGCTGTGGCGGTCTGAGCCCCGCCGCCTTTCCCCAAGCCCAAAGAGTGATACTCTTGCCTCCCCGGTGTCTGAGCGGCAGCAAACGAAGTGCCACTTCAGCGGTGGTTATCTCCAGCCAGGCTGCAAAGCACGGAGAGGAGAGAGCAGAGAACAGCCATGACCACATAGCCTGTGCTCTATTCAAATCAGATGGGAAGAAGCAACAAAATAATCCTAGCTAAGTGGTCTAGTATCCTTCATACATTGTACATCTGTATTTGTTATTTGTGAAAATAATAAAGGCAGGATACAAATAAATAAATATTTGAAAACAAAGTCATACATGCACATGGAAGAACAAGACATTCAATTCTCAATCTTTATTTTTTGCAGATGTTGCAATTCTTTGGTATTAAGTTCTTCAAAGTATTACTGGGGCAGCTCAAATACATTCACAGATGATGTATTAAAAACCCTTTTCTTTTGATTTTGTTAATTTCTAAATCTTTCAAGAGACAGTAAGAACAGACTATCCTGCCCCAGCAGACTTGAAGTGTATACTTAACTATCTGGCCCCCAGCCTTGTTTGTCTGTATCTGAATGCTCCAGAGATTTATGACAGTATAAGAAAGGACAGTCTCTTCCCAGAACCAGATCAGAATCACCAAACCAATATTCCCGGCCTTTTTGACTTTGTATTAACTTCTTTAGCTGGTGAATAAAAGGACTATTATCTTGCAGTCATGTCAGTAGACACTATGATTAAGAATCTTGAATCTATGAGGCCTTTTGGATCTATTTTTCAGTATTTAATTTGGGAGGTAGTTTTAGATCATTAGTTTCTATTTGTATACAAGTGCTCCTCAATTTACAACCATCCATTTAGCATCGTTTGAAGTTACGGCAATGCTGAAAAAAAGTGACTGATGATGTTCTCCACATTTACCACTGTTGGAAGAAATGTCCACCTGGGTTTAATTCCATATGGGGAGAAAGACATTGGAAACATGGAGACTGCTTGGAAGGATGGTTTAATGGTGGGCAGGACCACATGCGTTTGAAGTCCTGGGTAGCTGACCACATGGAAGAGAGAGAGTGAGTAAGAGAGAGGGAAGAAAGGGGAGAAGGGAGAGGGGAGAGAGGAGAGAGGAGAGAGAGAGAGAGAGAGAGTGGAGAGAGAGGCCCTCTCTTGAGCTTTGAATTTGAGCTTTCTGTTCCTGTGGCTAGGGGATATATCCTATTGGTTGCAGTCAGACACCCATGGGGCTATGCAATCCTAGCTGGGGTTGTCTGTGTCCCAGGCGTGGTTGAATCTTGATGAGTGATCCAATGAAGGGCAATTTCCTATTATGTCTGAATGACTTTGACCTGAAGGATAATCCCATCATCCTGGAGCTGAGGTCTTTTGTTTTGTAGATAGACTGGCCCAGTCTTTTGTCTTGCAAATAAACTGGCACCAAAATATCTGCTGGGGGCAAGGAGCTGGGGTCTTTTGCTTCCGTTTCCTTCAAGATTTTTATTTCTCTTCTAGGGGAAATATTCTGCCTTTTTAATATTTCCTAGAATATTTCATTCTTCTAGGAGAGGGGTGGGTGCTAACTTTCTACACCACCATTGCAGTGTTTCCACAGTCACATGTTCAAAATTTGTGTGCTTGGCAATCGGTATGTATTTACAATGGTTACGGTATCCAGAGATCACATGAAGACCATTTATGACCTTACCGGCTGACTTTTGACAAGCAAAGATAATGGGGGAAGCCGGATGTGCTTAACAAACACAGCAAAAAAGGTTGTAAAATCAGGCACAACTCACTTAACAATCACTTCACTTAGTGATAGAAATTCTCGTCCCAGGTTGAGGACAACCTGAATTTGTGTTTGTTGTAAGCTATCATGATCTGGATGGAAATGTTTAACAAAATAAAACAATGACTGTGCAAGTAACATAGCAGCTACAGTGCAGCTATAAAATTCTGCACAATATCTGCAACCCAGTTCACAGGTGGAATTCAGCAAGTTCTAACTAGTTCTGGAGAACCAGTAGCGAAAATTTTGAGTAGTTTGGAAAACTGGTAAATACCACCTCTGACTGGCCCCGCCCCCATCGATTCTCTGCCTCCCGAGTCCCTTCCTCTGACACACCCACCAAGCCATGACACACCCACCAAGCTACGTCCACAGAACCGGTAGTAAAAAATTTTGAATCCC